TCAGAAACACAACAGGAAGTGAGAGGAAATCTCTCCAGGAGCAATCCTCCCTTAGATGATTGCCATTGCAGCAAGTGTCCCCATTGGAAGATTCTTCCTCTACTCCTGTTCTGGTGACAACACAGAAATGTTGACTTACACCACCAAATCAAATCCTTAATAACACTAAAACGGCTTCTATCATATTAAAATGAAAAACAGAGAAATAATGACATCTATATAGCATACGCACACTGTGATCCCAGAGAGGCACTATAAATATATATTCTGGAGGTATATCCGCAGGGACAGGAGCTGGATGGACGTGTTGGTGGTGAGAAGTTACATAACCACACAACGACACTTAAGTGGTATTAGTGGATGATTGGTCACCATCTACCCGGCAGCATCAATGCTAAATAATATATATGGGGAATTAATATTCATAATATAGCAATCTGTTTAATACTTTACATCACAACTGCTGGAATGCAGAATACAAATAAGTAAGTCAGGAAGATAAATCACTCCAGCCAGCCATTAAGTCACTCCAAGGATGAAATTCTTGGTATGAACTGTAGAGAGATTTGGTTTCTAGGCAAGAATCTCCTTCTGTTCCAATGAGCAGAGTAGACCCTTGGGTGCAACCTTATCACTTCCCATCTCCTCGTTATTTGAAGATGTATCAGCTAAAATAAGTGTATCATCGGCCTTGTCCTCTGTAATCACCAAATCACAATCTTTATTTTATGAGAATTTTAAAAAGCTCTTCTTCTCTCACACTTCCAACCCATCAGTCCGTTCACCAGCAATAACTGGACTTCAGTTTGGATGATACAATGTACCTCTTCGTATTAATAGAACGGAGATGTAACCACAACACATATAAAGTCACAGCTCCAGAAAATGCCATCAGTCTGGGGAAACGTCTGCGTTCCATCAAAGTAGAACTCCGGGAGATGTGTTTGGAAGACCCAAACTGACAAACTGAGGCCAGACAGGAGGTTCTTCAAGATGGTCACCTAATCAAGAAATCTGGTCTTTGAAATCAGAATTCACTCTCCTGCAGTCCACTTTCAAGTAGCAAAAGAAAGGAAACCAATGTCCATTTAAAGCCTCATATATGTTTATGAAAATACAGAGCCTACCAATGATCTAAGTATGGAGTGAAATGCGTCAGTTCTCATGGGATTGGTGGATCATGCTACATATCAATAAACACATTGGAGAGCAGCTTCCTTTTCTCTTGTGACTTGAAAGGGGACTTTATGCAGCAGCCATTGAGTGCTGGAGGCCGGAGGCCAATGTCCGGGGAGTGAAGGGGAGGCATGCCTGTAGTGGGACTGAATACATTTTACTAATTCATCTTTTAGTGGTGTGTAAATAATGAATTTCAAAATCCTAATATACCCAACAACTGTGTCCACACTTCCTCGGCTATGGTTTGCAATCAGAACACAGCATCCACCTATCTGTGGCTCTCACTGATGACTTACTGTATATCTCCAACATAGGCGGGGGTGGGGCATGTCTAACAGAAGTCAAATGCAGAGACTGCACTTCAATAAAACTGCTATTCAAGTCACATAAAAAACTGAACCATAATATTGCATTCACATTGCAGAATAAATCATTATACAAGAAAAGTAGATTTCTTTACCATACATCATAGGACTCAGAACATCCTAATATCCATGGTAACCAAGTTCTGGGGCCATCTTCAGGTGATGGGACACTGGCAATAAAGACAGAACATCCTTTCCCTGGAATAACTCGGCCCTGTTAGGCAAGGCTTCAGTTTGTTATCTAGTGTCTCAGGCCATGTATGTGAAGTCTCTAGTTTCTCAAGGGTTCCACCTGGGATTAGGAGACAAGCTTGTTCCAGATCCACATCTCTACAATTTTTCCGTGGCATGGACTGGGGAGTGCCCTGGGGTAGTCTCAGCTGGTACACCTCTACTCTCTGGTTACCCCCTTCTCTTGGGAGAGAACAGGACAGTGGGCATCTGGTGTATTATGTACAGTATTTATTTTGTTGACTTGGTGCTTCACTGTACTGTAGCTTCCTGGGCCACCACGAGCACTACACAGAGGTGGATAGGGATGTGCCAAATACAGAAGGCAGGGAAATTTCTCTACACTTTGCATTCACTTGACTACGATCTGGGCCACATACGCACGTGCAGTACAGGCAAGATGTCAAAAGCGTCTCTATATACATATATGTCAGCAGGCCATGACTCATTGACAATAGAGAAGTGGGGATGTAGGAGTTCAGGGGTCCCAAATACCTTCCTAAGGTATGGAGGAACCTGGACAGAGTCCCCCATGCAATGTATTCTCTGAGGATCAGTTTGTTTCATGCGGATCTACTGTAACTACCTCAACCTATCTGGTATATCTGCTATTTCTGGATCTTCTGGCCTCTAGGTTCAATGTGAAGCTGGACAGGTTCATCTCCAGGACCAGGGATCTTCAAGCTTTTGCAGTGGATGCCCTGTTGACTCCCTGGGACCAATTATTTCAAATGTATGCCTTCTCTCCATTACAGCTTCTGCCTCATCTGGTTGCAGGGTTCAAGTGGAAAGAATTCTGTTGATTCTGATTGCCCTGGCCTGACCCAGAAGAACTTGGTATTTTGACATTGTGAATACATTGGGGGGGCGACCCCTGGATCCACCGAACCTTCTGTTGCAAGGTCCAATCTTCCTTCTTTATGGTCACAGGCTTTACTGGCATGACTGCTGAAGCCAGAGTTTTCAGAACAGGGGAGTCTCTAATTTGGTCATTCCTACCTTACTAAAGGCTAAGAAGGTGATTTCAAGGAAGATTTACCAGAAAACTTGTAAATCTTATTTTTCTTGGTGTGAAGCTTGGGAAAACCATCCTCACAGGTAAGTTGTGGGACACATCCTGGCTTTTCTCCAGTCTGGAGTTGATCTGGGACTGGTTTTGAGTACAATCAAGGGTCAGATTTTGGCCTTGGTGGTCCTTTTTCAGAGACTGATTTCTCACTCCTTGGTGCTTTTGTGCTCAGTAGGATCTCAGCTTGGTTCTTCTCTTATTGCAGAAATCTCTGTTTGAGCCCATTTAGGTTATTCCTTTAGTCCTTCTGACAGAGAAGTTATTTTTTCTTGTTGTCATTACTTAAGCTCACAGAGAGTTCCTGAATTGGCTGCTCTTTTCTGTAAGGAACTGTTCCTGGTGGTCCACCGAATAAGGTGGTTCTACGGCCTCAGCCTTCCTTTTTGCCTAATGTTTTTCCTACGTTCCATCACAACCAGGACATTGTTTTACCCTCTTTCTGTCCAAAGCCACAGAAGCCAGGTACAAGGCTTATCACACTTTGGATGTGGTTCCAATTCAGGTGTTATTCCTGAAGGCCCAAGGAAAGATCACACAGCTTCCAGGTTAACTATTACTCGGTGGAGCTATCAGCTTATTTCTCTAGTTTATGGTCAAACTTCCATTGTTTTCACCTCATTCTTCTAGGAGTGTGGTGGCTTCCTGGGCTATTTGACATTAGGGTTTAGTAGCTCAGCTTTGTAAAGCTGCTACTTAGCCTTCTGTTCATACTGATCCAAGACTTGAATGGACTAGTTCCAGAATTCTAAACTCTAATGTACCAGAATCACCAATCCAAAACATCAACCACAATATGCTAATGTAACCGATCCAAAACTCAAACCTCACTGATTCCATTCCTTAGATCTGTAATCCCAGTCCTAACGTATGGGGGTCAACAATCCAAAACCCTTAGAAAGCAGTGTCACTGTTTACTAACTAGCTAACTTGATTCCGGAAGAAGGGGGCTATTTCCTTTGTTTCTATCAATAATAACATTTAGCATTAAGAAATATGTAAACCCAACATCTCCTATTCCTGATATGTGCCTGTTGTACCATGTACTTGTATGGGAAAGTCTCCTGTTCCTGTGCTGGGAACTCAGCCTGCTCTCCTCCAATCATCAGACTTGTCCTGACATCCCCCCCCCCCTGCGCAGCCATTCACTGGGAAGACCAGTGAACAGAAGACAAGTGTCCTGCTGTTTCTCCTCCCTTATGCACATGAGAACCGGAGGAATGTAATCACTTATAAAAAAAAGGTATTTATGATGATTTTTATATCTATACACAAATGTTTTACCTTTTATTTCTATTTTACACTGAATATCTTGTTTTAAAAGGTGAGGGTCACATAGACTTTCATTAAAACACACCTGTCCTTTTTCTGCGGTGTAGCGAGTATATGAAGAAATAATGAAAAATAATGTTATCATGTTTAAAAGGGACACAGTGCAGCCAAATATTGTGAGAACAAAGGTTGAAATGCAGTCAAATTGGTGATAAATATTGCAGACAAAGACATGTAAATCGGGTTGGTGGAATCGTTGGAGGTGACCTTGTAAAAAGTGACGCTGACCATCCTTCTACCTCTTTAATTACAACTTTGCCAGCTGAACAGGTCTTATCGATCCTGTGTCTCCTTGGGAGACATTCCGAACATCTGAAATAAGCCTGTGCACCTCCGTCTTCACCAATGAATCATTAAATGTCACCAACGCCAATGCAGATCTTCTACAATACCCACCAATGAGATGGTCCTATCACCGGTGGTCGGTCCACCCTTAACAAGAACACCCTGACACACAGCCTGCACACCTTCTCTTCCCCCAATGTGTCCATCTCTGGTGGGCGGCTCTCTGAGCCACTGATGCAACCACCCATTTCCTTCCTTCCTTCCTTCCTCCCTCCCTCCCTCCCTCCCTCCCCCTCCCTTCCTTCCTTCCTCCCTCCCTTCCTTCCCTTCCTTCCTCCCTCCCTTCCCTCCCTCCTCCCTCCCTTCCCTCCCTTCCTTCCTTCCTTCCTTCCTCCTTCCTTCCTTCCTTCCTTCCCTTCCTTCCTTCCTTCCTATTAGCATTCCTTCTACTGGCTCGCAGTAGTATCGCAGAGGATTTACACTGAGTCGCAGCGGTCGATGGTGATTTGTGTTATTGTTTTTTTACAGGAAGCACAGGATACATGTACACTATATTGCCAAAAGTATGGTCCCGCCCTCCAAATCATGTGATTCAGGTGTTCCGATCTCCTCCATATCATGTGATTCAGGTGTTTCAATCCCCTCCATATCATGTGATTCAGGTGTTTCAATCCCCTCCATATCATGTGATTCAGGTGCTCCAATCCCCTCCATGGACACAGTGTATACAATCAAGCCCCTAGGCATGCAGACGGCTTCTACAAACATTGGTGAAAGAATGGGTCGCTCTCAGGAGCTCAGTGACTCTAAGCGTGGTCCCGTGATAGGTGGCCACCTGGGCAATAAGTCCATCCGTGACATTTCCTGGCTACTAAATATTCCACGCTCAACTGTTAGTGGGATTATAACAAAGTGGAAGCAACTGGGAACAACAGCCACTCAGCCACCAAGTGGTAGGCCACGTCACATGACAGGGCGGGGTCAGCGCATGCTGAAGCGCACAGTGCGCAGAAGTCACCAACTGTCTGCAGAGTCAATAGCTAAAGACCTCCAAACTTGGTGTGGCCTTCAGATGAGCCCAACAACAGTGCGTAGAGAGCTTCATGGAATGGGTTTCCATGGCCGAGCAGCTGCATCCAAGCCTTCCATCACCAAGTGCAATGCAAAGCGTCAGATGCCGTGGTGTAAAGCACGCCGCCACTGGACTCTAGAGCAGGGGAGACGTGTTCTCTGGAGTGACCAATCACACTTCTCTGTCTGGCAATCCGATGGCCCTGTCTGGGTTTGGCGGTGGCCAGGAGAATGGTACTTGCCTGACTGCATTGTGCCAAGTGTAAAGTTTGGTGGAGGGGGATTATGGTGTGGGGTTGTTTTTCAGGGGTTGGGCTTGGCCCCCTAGTTCCAGTGAAGGGAACTCTTAAGGCAACATTCTGGACAATTTCATGCATTGTAGGAAGAGTTTGGGGATGACCCCTTCCTGTTCCAACATGACTGCCCACAAGCACACAAAGCAAGGTCCATAAAGACATGGAGGAGCCAGTTTGGGGTGGAGGAACTTGACTGTCCTGCACAGAGTCCTGACCTCAACCCCATAGAACACCTTTGGGATGAATTATAGTGGAGACTGCGAGCCAGGCCTCCTCCCCCGACATCAGTGCCTCCTCCCCCGACATCAGTGCCTGACCTGACAAATGTGCTTCTGGAAGAATGGTCCAACCTTCCCATAGACACCCTCCTAAACCTTGTGGACGGCCTTCCCAGAAGAGTTGAAGCTGTTATAGCTGCAAAGGGCGGGGCCAACTCAATATTGAACCCGGACTACGGACTAATATTGACTAAGGGGGGGCCATTAAAGGTCATGTGTGTGGAAAGGGCGGGGCCAACTCAATATTGAACCCCACGGACTAAGACTGGGGGGCCATTAAAGGTCATGTGTGTGGAAAGGGCGGGCCAACTCAATATTGAACCCTACAGACTAATTAACTGGGGGGCCATTATTGAAGGTCATTAAAGTCATGTGTGTGGAAAGGGCGGGCCAACTCAATATTGAACCCTACGGACTAAGACTGACCATTAAAGGTCATGTGTGTGGAAAGGGTGGGGCCAACTCAATATTGAACCCTACGGACTAAGACATTAAAGGTCATGTGTGTGGAAAAGGGTGGCCCAGGGCCAACTCAGATAAGTTTGATACCAAACCCTACGGACTAAGACTGAGGGGCCATTAAAGGGATCTAAATGTGTGTGGTCAATTTTCTGGGTGGGGGGGTGTCCAAAAAATACTCAATATGATGAACCCAGCCACGGACTAAATGACTGAAATGGGGGGTCAATCTGTACAGAAAGCGCTGCAGCAGCGTTGACATTCACAAGGGTAAACGTTTTCAAGTTGCAGAGTTTTTTCTGTCAAATGACTCCAAGGGTCTGCTGTGTGATTTGGGGGACCTTTTGAGGGGTCCGTGAGCTGTTGGGAATGAAATGTCATTTGCCAGCAATTCCAACTGAATCCTTTTTTCTTTGTAAATGTCACCTTTTCTGTAGTACTTCCTAGAGGCCCCCCCCCCCCCCCCGCAAAGCACCTGGTTCCTATGCTGATGAAGACAAGGGCCTGTTCCCCACAACCCTTGCCCAGTGGTTATGGGATCTCCTGGTAGGGGGCTTCTCATAATCTGCCTAACTCCAGCCCCCCTAAACAATAGTGGGACCCCCTGATACTGGCCCCCTCCCTTTGTGAGTGAGTAGTAGGGGGTACATAGTACCACTGCTCATTCACCTAAAAATAAAGACACCCAAACAGTTGATAAGACATTTATTAAAAAAAAAAATCCCCCAAAAATGTCCCGAGATGTAAATCCATCATCAATCATGCCATCCACGTCCAGATCCACGTCAATCACGATGTCCAATGACTGCCACAAAATATGCTGCCGAGACACTTCCACGTTCCCACATGTTGGCTTGGAAGCCGCCAAATGACAAGTCAGGTGGATAGTAGCTGTTATATACAAGGGGGCAGGGCCTCCCGGGTGACATCATTGACCATATATGGACATAACCGTAGGTGACGGACTTGTCAAACATTTGGGTATCTTTATTTCCAGGTTACATCTTTTTTTGTGAACAAGTAAGGATAATATGGAGCCACTTACCTATCCACTGTATTGTTAAAGGGGGCTTCCAGATTCTGATAAGCCCTCCAATCACAGACCCCACAACCACCAGGTCAGGGTTATGGGGAAAGCTCTTATCCTCATCAACATGGAGACAAGGCACTTTGCCAGATGGGCCCATTGGAAAGGTACCCCCTTCCTTCATGTTGGGGGTGTGGGGTCTGGTATGGTTCAGAGAGAGGTGCACCCCGCTATCCCTTCCTGGCCAATCAGGCTGTACTCTCGGATTAAGGATGCACCCCCCTATCCCTTCCTGGCCAATCAGGCTGTACTCTCGGATTAAGGATGCACCCCCCTATCCCTTCCTGGCCAATCAGGCTGTGCTCTCGGATTAAGGATGCACCCCCTATCCCTTCCTGGCCAATCAGGCTGTGCTCTCGGATGAAGGATGCACCCCCTATCCCTTCCTGGCCAATCAGGCTGTGCTCTCGGATGAAGGATGCACCCCGCTATCCCTTCCTGGCCAATCAGGCTGTACTCTCGGATTAAGGATGCACCCCCTATCCCTTCCTGGCCAATCAGGCTGTGCTCTCTGATTAAGGATGCACTCCCCTATCCCTTCCTGGCCAATCAGGCTGTGCTCTCTGATTAAGGATGCACCCCCTATCCCTTCCTGGCCAATCAGGCTGTACTCTCGGATTAAGGATGCACCCCACTATCCCTTCCTGGCCAATCAGGCTGTGCTCTCGGATTAAGGATGCACCCCCTATCCCTTCCTGGCCAATCAGGCTGTGCTCTCGGATTAAGGATGCACCCCCCTATCCCTTCCTGGCCAATCAGGCTGTGCTCTCGGATTAAGGATGCACCCCCTATCCCTTCCTGGCCAATCAGGCTGTGCTCTCGGATTAAGGATGCACCCCCCTATCCCTTCCTGGCCAATCAGGCTGTGCTCTTGGATGAAGGATGCACCCCCCTATCCCTTCCTGGCCAATCAGGCTGTGCTCTCGGATGAAGGATGCACCCCCTATCCCTTCCTGGCCAATCAGGCTGTGCTCTCGGATGAAGGATGTGGTATGGATTCTAGGGGGACCCCCATGCATATTTTATAGTAATTAGCCATTTAAACTCAATGCAGATAAACACACAAAATAAAAGCTGCTCTAGCAGGCAATCTATGGAGTCATTGAACACGGAGGGTTAGAGGTCCCTCCTAAAATCTGTATCAGACCCAAAGGTTCTAGTATACATTTCCTGGGGGACCTCACACATTTCTGTAATGTTTTTTTGTATGGGGTACTCCTTAAAATCCATACCAGACTCAAAGAGTTTGGTATGAAAACAGGCATGGAACCCCAATCCCCTCCCCAGGGATTCCCAACCATGTCAGTGAATGGAAGAGATGGGTGGGGGTCAATGGTCTGGTGTTCGTCTGAATGCCCAAATAACCAACGTTTGGCCTGAACTTGTGATTGGACCAAACTTTGAGCTCATCCCTAATCCTCATCATCAAAATCCAAAGATTCTGCTGGGACACTAAATGCCGGAATTGTTCCAGATTAGCTCCATGTTGGAACCCTGTTTAGGAGTCGTAGCCCAAGGTTGGCCAGCTGCAGCAAAGTGAGCGATCCTCCTAAAGAAATGAGACGGCAACCTGAACCTCATTGTGGCCACTGACCACCCGGAAGTGCGGAGACTGGCTTCTCCTCCCGATCATTGCCAGCAGTTGTGATGGCGGCACAGACTGACAGCAGTCATCAGACGTGGCGGAATGACTAGATCTTCACGTCTTCAGGGATTTGGAAGCTTCAGCTGCGGCTTTAGATGGGAATCTGTGAAGTCACTGAAAGGTTTGCAGCAATTCCGAGGTCTTCTAATACAGAAATATTTGCCTCTCGTGTCTGGGCTGCTATTACCATCATTACCTTTCCTGGGATGTGACTACAAAGTGCGCTGACATGAGAGCGGCACATTCACTCAAACCTTCATTTAGGCTCCGAATTCATTATTCACATTCATTTCATGGAATTTACAGCATTAGTGACTTGCTTAGCTCAGGGCCCTGAAATCAGCTGTCATCTGTTCAGTATGGGGGGGGCACTGCCTGCAGATATTATGAACAATACATTACATGGGGGGGCACTGCCTGCACTCAGTATGAACAATACATTACATGGAGGGGGGCACTGCCTGCAGATATTATGAACAATACATTACACGGGGGGGGGGGGGGGGGGGGGAACTGCCTGCACTCAGTATGAACAATACATTACATGGGGGGGGCACTGCCTGCAGATATTATGAACAATACATTACACGGGGGGGGGGGGGGAACTGCCTGCACTCAGTATGAACAATACATTACATGGGGGGGGGGGGTCAGTCCACTGCCTGCAGTTATTATGAACAATACATTACATGGGGGGGGGGGGCACTGCCTGCACATCAGGGGGGGGGCACCGCCTATGAACAATACATTACATGGGGGGGGGCACTGCCTGCAGTTATTATGAACAATACATTACACGGGGGGGGACGGGGGGGGGGGGGCACTGCCTGCACTCAGTATGAACAATACATTACATGGGGGGGGGGGGGGGGGGCACTGCCTGCAGATATTATGAACAATACATTACATGGGGGGGGGGGCACTGCCTGCACTCAGTATGAAACCAATACATTACATACAAATGTACTAATGGTGGATGTGTCTTCTAAGAGGGTCCCTACAAATGTACTAATGGTGGATGT